TCCTCCGGTTCTCGTGACCACCCGTGCACAAGCCGCACGTCCACAGCCAGCTGACTCTACTGCTACCGCTGTCCCTCAAGACCCTCAGAAACTACCCCCGCATCTGACCAAGTTGGAGTTCCGTAAGTTGCAGAGGGAAGATCTTACTTTAACACCATTGTTTTTCCAGGCTGAGACTCAACCCGACAGTATTCCTGGGTTCTTCCTAGAGAACGACTTGCTCTACCGCAGATATAGACCCAGTAAACTGAAGGAGGAGGACGATTGGGCCAACACCGAACAACTTGTGATTCCCACCAGCCTGCGGCCCACTATTCTACACCTGGCCCATGGAGCATTCTCCCACTACGGCTTCAACAAGACTTACCATGGGATTCGTCAAGACTACTACTGGCCAGGTATGGTAAACAACGTCAAACAGTACGTAAAACAGTGTCATACATGTCAGATGGCAGGCAAACCGAACGTCTCCATTCCCAGAGCACCACTGATTCCCATACAGGTGCCTGCGGAACCTTTCCACAGACTCATAATAGACTGTGTTGGTCCTTTACCTCGGACCAGTTCAGGTAACGCCTACATCCTAACCATCCTGTGTCCTACCACCAGATTTCCCATAGCAGTTCCAGTGAAGAACATCACGGCTGCTACGGTTATCAAACATCTATTGAAGATCTTCACTCAATACGGATTTCCCAGGGAGATTCAAAGTGACTGTGGCACCAACTTCACCAGTGATCTCTTCAAAAGGACACTGGAGGAGTTCAACATCAAACAGGTATTGTCCAGCCCCTATCATCCTGCTTCACAGGGTTCTCTTGAACGTAGTCATCAGACCATCAAAGCACTCTTGAAAAAGTTTTGTAGTGAAACCTCAAAGGATTGGGATAAGCAGATTGACCTAATAATGTGTATTTTCAGAAGTCTCCCCAATGAGTCCCTAGGAGTATCTCCTTATGAGATGCTCTACGGCCGTAAGTGCCGTACTCCCCTTAAGGCTTTCAAAGACTCTCTGAGATGCCACCTTCAGTGAGCATCAGAATGTGCCCCAGTTTCTTCAAAACCTTCAACACATTCTAGAGAGAGTCCACCGCTTTGCCCATGATAATCTATTGAAAGCCCAGGTGAGAATGAAGACTCATTACGACCAGACCAGCAAAGTAAGAAAATTCAAGCCGGGAGACTTCGTCCTTGCCTATTTTCCTATCCCAGGTTCACCTTTACAAAACAGATTTTCAGGACCCTACTGCGTCAAAGAGTGCAGGAATAATAATAATTATGTGATAGAGACTCCTGATAGGCGGCGGAAGACCCAGCTGTGCCACGTCAACCTCCTGAAGCAATATAATGGTACTCCTCCCACTGTCTTGACTAATTATTCCACATTCACAGAACCCTACATCCACAGTGAGACCTTCCCAGCTTCTCCTCCCGAAAGCACTGACAAGGAGTCAGCGCTTTCTAATTCCGAAATCCTTAATGATCTTCCCAAATACTTTCAGGATAATCATAGTGCACCTCTCGTCAAGATCTTCAGAGAACATCAAGAGTTGTTCAGAGATGATCCCCAAGAGTGTAATGTTACCCAGCACGACATCCAACTGCTCCCCGACACCCGGCCGATTCGTCAACCCTTCTACCGAATCAGCCCGAGCAAGAAGGAAGTCATGCGTGCTGAGGTGCAATACCTCTTGGATCATGGACTGGCTACACCTTGTGAGTCCCCCTGGGCCTCACCCTGTATCTTGGTGCCCAAACCCCAAGGTAAGGTGCGGTTGTGCACCGACTATCGTAAACTGAACTCTGTCACTGTCAAGGATGCTTACCCCTTGCCAAGGATAGATGACATCCTTGATGCCATTGGTAGTGCCCAGTACTTGTCCCAAGTGGACTTGCTTAAGGGGTACTATCAAGTGTGTCTAACGGAGCGCGCTAAAGAGATATCTGCCTTCATCACTCCTTTTGGACTTTTCAGATATGAACGCCTTCCTTTCGGACTATGTAATGCCCCGGCCACCTTTCAAAGAGCTGTCAACCGTGTCATCCAGGGCTTGGATAACACATACGCCTACCTGGACGATATCGTCGTAGCCTCCAACTCCTGGAGTGAACATCTGCTCCAGCTGCGACGTCTGTTCTCCAAGCTCCTGACAGCCGGCCTCACCATCAACCTGGGCAAGTCCACTTTCGCGAAAGGTAAAGTGCGTTATCTGGGTCATGTTATTGGGAGTGGCAGCATAGCTCCGTTAGACTCACACACTCAAGCCATCCTACAGTATCCACAGCCTACCACCAGGAAGCAGCTCCTGCGCTTCCTTGGTCTTGCCTCTTACTACCGTAGGTTTGTGAGGAATTTCAGTACAGTCGCCACACCTCTAATTCTATTAACCAGTCCCAAGCAACGGTATAATTGGACCATGCAGCAAACCGTTGCTTTCGAACAACTCAAATTCCTCCTCTGTTCTAACCCCATTCTCGCCTCTCCAGATATCACCAAGCCTTTCGTCCTTCATGTCGACGCCAGTGGTACCGGCGTTGGTGGTGTCCTGATGCAACTACGAGGCGAGGAGGTTCTACCTGTCAGCTACTACAGCTACAAACTGAAACCACACCAGAGGAACTACAGCACTATTGAAAAGGAGCTACTATCCATCGTCCTGAACCTCCAACACTTCGCTCCGTACCTACAAGGCGCCAGGTCTACCACCATCTTCTCAGACCACAACCCTCTCCGCTTCCTACATCAAGCCCAATTCACCAACCAGCGTCTTCTACGATGGGCTCTGTATTTACAAGACTTCAACCTGGAGATCCGCTATATCAAGGGTTCTGACAACACCATAGCCGATGCCCTCTCCAGAGTTTATGAAGTAGAAGCGACTCCATCCATTACTCCACCACATAACGACGTACTTCTTCCAGAACCGCAGGCTTCGGGGGAGAGTTGTGACGATAATCTCCTTCAAGAGATTGAGCCTGCTCTTCCCTCCAAAATTACGTCTTCACCATTATATAAAAAGACTATGGAAGAAATGTCCAACAACGACAACAACACCAGCACCAGCAAGGCTTGCCAGGGTGAGCAGAAACGTATGCAACCAGCCACCTGTTCGAACTCCAACCACCAAACTACCCGTTGATCGCTACGGCTCCGCTGATTGGTCGCCGGTCTGGCTGCACCTGCACTCGCCCCCAATACTACCTGATGTCTGGGGTCGCCCCAACATCAGTCCTCAGAATGTTCCGTGCTTTCGTAGCCAGCACTCCTCCCAGCTAGACGTTAGCGTGTACTGAGAGAGGTGGTGGCTTTAAGCCAATATTCCAGCACCTCCCACTTAACTTTTGTATTGCACTTGTTATTTTACCTTAACGTAACTTTTCATTGTGTCATTTAAGTATTCTTATTATTTTGATTCATTGATTTTATTATACATATTTGTTTGTGCATTATTTTCATGTTTTGATTTATTTAACGTAATTAAAATTTCATTGTTAAAGTTTACTTGTGTTTTGTGTGTCTTCTCCTTACCTTACCACAGACGAAGTTCCAGTTTTTCTATTTTTTTTTTTATAACTATGTGACGAGGCCATACCCCTAGCCTTAAACAGCCGAACACCAACGCGTTACCGTCACAATATATATATATATATATATATATATATACATATTATACATATAATGTTATAAATAGTAAAATACAAAGGAAAGCAAGGAACACATACGGTGAAACACATACATCAGACAATGGCAAGTGTATGAAGCATTTAGAAGACATATTGTAAAGTGTGGCATCTGTAACGTTAGATTTCACCTGAGCTGTGTAGCATTATTTACCATACACAGACAAGGAATATACTGGATGTGCATTAATGACAGGTTAATATGGGGAACCTACCTTACCTTGAGGTGCTTCCGGGGCTTAGCGTCCCCGCGGCCCGGTCGTCGACCAGGCCTCCTGGTTGCTGGACTGATCAACCAGGCCTCCTGGTTGCTGGACTGATCAACCAGGCTGTTGGACGCGGCTGCTCGCAGCCTGACGTATGAGTCACAGCCAGGGAAAAAGTGTCGTACCTGAGAGACTCACAGTTTAACATTAACAGACAAGCTACCAGTGATATATACGGACTGTGAACAAACAACACTGGACTAGGACCAACACTCAGGAATTGGTAATTTAGAGGGAGGTTATCTTGAGATGATTTCGGGGCTTTAGTATCCCCGCGGCCCGGTCCTCGACCAGGCCTCCACCCCCAGGAAGCAGCCCGTGACAGCTGACTAACACCCAGGTACCTATTTTACTGCTAGGTAACAGGGGCATAGCGTGAAAGAAACTCTGCCCATTGTTTCTCGCCGGCGCCCGGTAGCGAACCCGGGACCACAGGATCACAAGCCCAGCGTGCTGTCCGCTCGGCCGACCGGCTCCCTACCGGGAGTGTGGATCGTGGTACATAACAGCAGCAATATCCCACAGCCAGGTTATATTAACAGTGAGAGCAACCTTACCTTGAGGTAAGGAGGGGCCTCGTAGCCTGGTGGATAGCGCGCAGGACTCGTAATTCTGCGGCGCGGGTTCGATTCCCGCACGAGGCAGAAACAAATGGGCCAAGTTTCTTTCACCCTATGCCCCTGTTACCTAGCAGTAAATAGGTACCTGGGTGTTAGTCAGCTGTCACGGGCTGCTTCCTGGGGGTGGAGGCCTGGTCGAGGACCGGGCCGCGGGGACACTAAAGCCCCGAAATCATCTCAAGATAACCTCAAGAACAGGTGCTTCAGGTGCAACAGTGAGAAAAAAAATGCATAAACAAATAAATTAGGACAAAAAAACGGGACTGGCAGCAATAAAGAGGCGGCCAAGACGGAGATAAACAACCCGACAACAATAACTTTATCTATATTATTTTATTTATTATAAAGTAAAAAAACAATAATATTTGAAAATACTGTGCACAAGGAATATGCAAATGTGGGTCCCAAAGGTGGGGAAAAATGCATTTCCCACCTTTTTCCACCTTTTCCCACCTTTTTCCCACCTTTTTCCCACCTTTTTCCCACCTTTTTCCCATCTTTTCCCACCTTTTTCCCACCTTTTTCCCACCTTTTCCCACCTTTTCCCACCTTTTTCCCACCTTTTCCCACCTTTTCCCACCTTTTTCCCACCTTTTTCCCACCTTTTTCCCACCTTTTCCCACCTTTTCCCACCTTTTCCCACCTTTTTCCCACCTTTTTCCCACCTTTTTCCCACCTTTTCCCACCTTTTCCCACCTTTTTCCCACCTTTTTCCCACCTTTTTCCCACCTTTTTCCCACCTTTTTCCCACCTTTTCCCACCTTTTCCCACCTTTTCCCACCTTTTTCCCACCTTTTTCCCACCTTTTTCCCACCTTTTTCCCACCTTTTTCCCACCTTTTCCCACCTTTTCCCACCTTTTTCCCACCTTTTTCCCACCTTTTTCCCACCTTTTCCCACCTTTTCCCACCTTTTCCCACCTTTTTCCCACCTTTTCCCACCTTTTCCCATCTTTTTCCCATCTTTTTCCCACCTTTTCCCACCTTTTCCCACCTTTTCCCACCTTTTTCCCATCTTTTTCTCACCTTTTCCCACCTTTTTCCCACCTTTTCCCACCTTTTCCCACCTTTTCCCACCTTTTCCCACCTTTTCCCACCTTTTTCCCACCTTTTTCCCACCTTTTTCCCACCTTTTTCCACCTTTTCCCCACCTTTTCCCCACCTTTTTCCCACCTTTTCCCACCTTTTCCCACCTTTTATGCATCTGCGAAAATGCAGGAAGATATTGGGGAGGGTTACATGCCTTTTTGGAACAACGTGCAAATACTTCCACCCATAAACTATGCAAATTTTCAATTAATTAATTTTATAATCTCCAGTGCCCGGAATTCTTAGTAAGAGGCAGACACGGGGTGTATTGCCGGAACAGAGGTGGATGGGATGCTCTCGGACGCAGGTTCGAATCCTCATCACGGCCCTTGTGGATTTGGTCAGAGGTGGATGTCTTCAAGAGGCACTTGGATAGGTTCTTGCAAGAAGTGCCGGACCAACAGGGCTGTGGTGGGTATGGGGGCCTGCGGGCCGCTCCAAGCAACAGCCTAGTGGACCAAGTTGTCACAAGTCAAGCCTGGCCTCAGGTCGAGCTTGGGGAGTATAGAAGACCTCTAGAAACACAGTCAGGTATTCTCCAGGTGAGGTGTCGAGTTGTAGTTTGGGTGACGCGAGTGTGTTTATATAAATACGACCAGGGGCGTGACTGTTGTGTACACACACACACACGACACACACACACGACACACACACACACACACACACACACACACACACACACACACACACACACACCTCACCAAAGAGCAGGGAGTACAGTAGTGGAGAGCACTTGGTGCACCACCACTTCCGGTTCTTGTGGCCACACCCGTACTCCAATGTTGGCGTGTGTGTGTGTGTGTGTGTGTGTGTGTGTGTGTGTGTGTGTGTGTGTGTGTGTGTGTGTGTGTGTGTGTGTACTCACCTAGTTGTGGTTGCGGAGAGTTGAGCTCTGGCTCTTTGGTTCCGCCTCTCAACCGTCAATCAACTGGTGTACAGGTTCCTGAGCCTACTGGGCTCTATCATATCTACACTTGAAACTGTGTATGGAGTCAGCCTCCACCACATCACTGCCTAATGCATTCCACCTGTTAACTACTCTGACACTGAAAAAATTCTTTCTAACGTCCCTGTGGCTCATTTAGGTACTAAGTTTCCACCTGTGTCCCTTTGTTCGTTTCCCACCCGTGTTGAAGAGTTTGTCTTTGTCCACCATGTCAATTCCCCTGAGAATTTTGTAGGTGGTTATCATGTCTCCCCTTACTCTTCTGTCTTCCAGGGATGTGAAGTTCAGCTTTCTTAGCCTCTCCTCGTAGCTCATACCTCTCAGTTCCGAGTCTAGTCTGGTGGCATACCTCTGAATGTTTGTCTTGTCTAGTAACTAGACATGGACTCCAGGCTGGAGCTGCATTCTCCAGGATTGGTCTGACATACGTGATATACAAGTTTCTGAATGATTCCTTTCACAAGTTTCTAAAGGCAGTTCTTATACTGGCCAACCTCTGATGATATCCTGACGATATCCTGATGATATCCTGATGGTTCTAGCTAGGTATCTGTTTTCTTTTTCAAGATTTTCTCGGACTTCCTTCTAGAAGTTGGCAAGCAATTACCTAGTTAAAGAGAAAGTGATCAAGCGGGCTGTTGTTCATGTCAGACTGCGAATACTTTAGCAACCAGTTCCCAGTGTTGCATAGTTGGAATGGCGCTTTCCTCTCATAGTTTCCTGCCCTCGAAAAGTACTTCGTATTTTGACGTATTTCCCAGATATAAATCCCCAGGTGTGTCCCAGACCAGGTATAAATCCCCAGGTGTGTCCCAGACCAGGTATAAATCCCCAGGTGTGTCCCAGACCAGGTATAAATCCCCAGGTGTGTCCCAGACCAGGTATAAATCCCCAGGTGTGTCCCAGACCAGGTATAAATCCCCAACGTTAAAATATTATATACTCTATAACATAACGGGGATTATATGCCCTGTAACCCATACCCACCACCGCCCACGGGATGGGTATGGGGTGCATAATAAAAATAAATTGAATTGGCTCGCTAAATGGCCGTGATGTCCCGTTTTCTGTTCGTGCATCCTCGATTAGGTTAGGTTCGGCCAATTTGCTACGTCATTTTTGCGACGTTGCGACAACAGCAAGAGGACGGGCTAGTCTAACAGCCTGGTTGCCCAAACCACCAACCAGGAGGTGGCCTGGTCAGGGACCGGGCCTCGGGGACAATGGCCCCATGGACGCAGGACGCTGCCAACATCAGTATCCCATCGGCTCATCACCAGGGAAAAAAACGGTCCCGGGCTCGGCTCGGGTAGTCGAAGAATGATAAAAACTTGCTACAGACTAGGTCTAACAGCCTGGTTGACCAGGCCGCGGGGACATTGATCTTTGAAACCATCTTAAGGTGACCCGTAGAAGTGTAGACTAATCCTGTAGGAGCAATCTGGACAACTATAGCACTTTGTTAGGTCAACAGCAGGCGGTGGAGGTCAATAGCAATTACTGGAACTAGGGAACTATCAGGGGGGGGGGAAAGCGCCAAGCCATTACGACTATATAGCACTGGGAAGGGGTCAGGATAAGGATTTGGGATGGGAGGATAAGGAGTTGGGATGGGACGGGGGGGGGGGAGGAATGGTGCCCAACCACTTGGTCGGGGATTGAACGCAATCCCCGACCATTCCAGCAATTACTGGAATAACATCCAAAAAGGATAGGCGCCGGTGGCTGAGCGGACAGAACACTGGACGCGTGATCCTGTAGTCCCGGGCTCGATCCCGGGCGTCGGCGAGAAACAATGGGCAGAGTTTCTTTCACCCTGATGCCCCTGTTACCTAGCAGTAAATAGGTACCTGGGAGTTAGTCAGCTGTCACGGGCTGCTTCCTGGGGGGGGTGGAGACCTGGTCGAGGACCGGACCGCGGGGACACTAAGCCCCGAAATCATCTCAAGAAGAGGGTCAGTAGTAGTTAATGGGGTCAATAGCAGTAACTAGGGGTCAGCAGCAGTTAATGGGGTCAATAGCAGCAACTAGGGGTTAGCAGCAGTTAATGGGGTCAATAGCAGTAACTAGGGGTCAGCAGCAGTTAATGGGGTCAATAGCAGTAACTAGGGGTCAGCAGCAGTTAATGAGGTCAATAGCAGTAACTAGGGGTCAGCAGCAGTTAATGGGGGTCATTATAATGTTAATGGTCAGGTGCAACATTGGGGGAGAATGGCTACCTTACCTTGAGGTTACCTTGAGGTGCTTCCGGGGCTTAGTGTCCCCGCGGCCCGGTCGTCGACCAGGCCTCCTGGTTGCTGGACTGATCAACCAGGCTGTTAGACGCGGCTGCTCGCAGCCTGACGTATGAGTCACAGCCTGGTTGATCAGGTATGGTTTGGCTATATGGCTATAGGAGGGTTTGAGCGGTAGTCAGACAGAAGGTAAAAAAGATGATTGACTCCCTGGTTACCTGGTTGAAGGGGTTCTGGGAGTTCTTCTACTCCCCAAGCCCGGCCCGAGGCCAGGCTCGACTTGTGAGAGTTTGGTCCACCAGGCTGTTGCTTGGAGCGACCCGCAGGCCCACATGCCCACCACAGCCCGGCCCGAGGCCAGGCTTGACTTGTGAGAGTTTGGTCCACCAGGCTGTTGCTTGGAGGGACCCGCAGGCCCACATGCCCACCACAGCCCGGCCCGAGGCCAGGCTTGACTTGTGAGAGTTTGGTCCACCAGGCTGTTGCTTGGAGCGACCCGCAGGCCCACATGCCCACCACAGCCCGGCCCGAGGCCAGGCTTGACTTGTGAGAGTTTGGTCCACCAGGCTGTTGCTTGGAGCGACCCGCAGGCCCACATACCCACCACAGGCCGGCCCGAGGCCAGGCTTGACTTGTGAGAGTTTGGTCCACCAGGCTGTTGCTTGGAGCGGCCCGCAGGCCCACATACCCACCACAGCCCGGTTGGTCCGGCACTCCTTGGAGGAATAAATCTAGTTTCCTCTTAAGAGGTGGACCACCTCCCTGAGAGGTGGTTCCAGCAAGCCAGGGGCCAGATTCACGAAAGCACTTAAGAACCTGTACATCTTTTCTCAATCTTTGGCGGCTTTGTTTACAATTATTAAACAGTTAATGAGCTCCGAAGCACCAGGAGGCTGTTTATAACAATAACAACAGTTGAATGGGAAGTTTTCATGCTTGTAAACTGTTTAATAAATGTAACCCAAGCCGTCAAAGATTGAGGAAAGATGTACACGTTCGTAAGTGTTTGCGTAAGTGCTTTCGTGAATCCGGCCCCTGAACAGGATATACAAGTAGGTTTCCCTTACAGAAATCACAATAGCGTGATGCATCAAATGAATAAATCCACAAGGGGTCGTGATGTAGGTTCGAACCTGCGTCCGAGAGCATCCCAGACGCTGCCTTAATCGACTGAGTCGATTCAGTCAGCATCTGGGATCCTTTGGGACGTAGGTTCGAATCCTTGTTGGGGGTTTCCTCGGGGGAAGGGGGGGTGATGCATCCTACCCACGGCCAGGATGCATCAAGCATTTGCTTACGAAACCTGTGCATCTTTTATCAATTGTAGCTGTTTTGTTTTGTTGGTGTTGATACCCTAGCTTAGTTGGGCTTGCGGGGGTTGAGCTTTGGATCTTGGGTCCTGTCTTTTTGGAGTGAATGTGGTCTGTGGGGAAGCAGAGAGACGTCGGCTATTAGACGATGTACGGGAATGGAAAGGGGTCAGATGGACATCAATAAAGGGGGGGATGGGTGGATAGGGGAGGGGGGATGTTAGGGATATGTCTGATGGTCTTCGATATAGGGGTAGGAATGGTGTTCTAGCTTGGGAGAGGAGGGGATAGAGGGTGGCGGGTGGATGGGGCCAGTCATTAGCGCGGACTGAAGGTGACGACAAGGGGTTTATCGGCTAGCCGGTCCCACTAACAAGCACTATTAATTAACTGATAACGACGGCCGTGGACGGCCAGTCGGGGCACCGCGCGCTGCCCTACCAGCCACCGACCAGCCTGACAACTGGCAAATCTTCCTTCTAATTAGCTTCTCTCCTCTCATGACCGCCACGCACTCGTGTCCAAGAATTACGAGCATTGCCGGCGATTGTAAATTAACAATAAATTGCTATTGTTAATGGCACCGCGAAATGTAAATGTTTTTTCTCTCTTCTGTTTTCGCGCC